TATCAGAGTTATTAGATCTATTGACACACATTATGGTAAAGGTATTGACTTTATATTCTAGGGCTATAAAGTACTCGTCAGGAGCTTTAGAATGATGTGCCACAAGACACCTGTTGTCATATAATTTTTTTCCAAGATGGCGCCCAGTGGCCATCTTGACATTTTAATCTATCAATTTTACTTTAAAATATGGTATCCAAGGATCAATTTCATTACCTCAAGTTTTAATTTTTTGAATTGATCCGTTCAAAAAATCAAACGGGAGGGGACATTACAGAAGCACTGTATACGTATGGATATACAGGGTGACTTGCAATGTCACGTATTCCTGTTAAGGGGTGATAGATTAGGTCAAAAGCGACCGATTTTGTCCCAGACGTTAACCGTTTTTGAGTTATTTGAATTTTATTTTTTTTTATTTTTTATTCCGATTTCAGACGGTTAAATTTGAAATACAAAAAAAACTACATGTTTGATTTTGAGTTTTTTGTTATCGTCGCATAGCGGACATTCCAATAGTTCATAATAAGTAATAAAATGTTGAAAACTTACAAAAGTTTTAAAATTACCCTTTTGAAATATATGATTTTCTTATTTTTTTACTAACTTATTCGATAAAAAATGAAATTTTCTGTAAAAAATCTCCTAGTAATGAAATGTGCAAATTATGTTAATAATATCTCTATCTAACAAGCTTTCATTTGAGGTATAAAAGTTACAACTAACTCAAGAACAAAGACATAAAATTAAAAAAAGATTAGTAAAGTTGTACGAACGATTATTACGTAGGATAAATAAAAGGCTTTTATTTTAATTACGGTTTTATTTAATTACATTTCCTTTAGTATTTTACAGATTCTGCTCACATTGTAATCCCCTGTTACGTAATTCACTTTTGGTAATTCTAGTTGTTAAGCGGCTTTTTATTTGGTCAGCTTCACTGATTATCCTTGTAATTAATTCATCGCGCGTTGGTACGGGCGAAACATCGTACACCAGGCTTTTCATATGTCCCCACACATAGTAATCCATCGGTGTGAGATCTGGGCTTCTTGCTGGCCAGGCAATGGGCCCGCCTCTGATAATGCATTGATGAGGCCCGTATCGTCAGTCGACCCTACAATTGTAGGGTGCGTTTATGGCCTCCTTGATTGTCATACTCCTCTCTCTCCTTCAAAAATTTCTAGATTACACTTGTCCCGTGTCAGCGTCAGCGCTCTCCTAGTGTGAAGATTTGTTTTCCTTTTAAATTGTAGGAAATTTCAGGCTGATAAAACATGATATAACTCAAAACCAATTTTGTGACATAACCTCAAAATAGAGCGCTGACACGGAGAAGTAAAAAATTATGACAATCAAGGAGGCCATAAAGGCGCCCTATTGTAGAGACGACTGACGATACGGGCCTGAATACGCCAGTACTGATCTACTGTAGTGTGCGGGACAGCCGTCGTGCTGGAACCAAATATTTTGTGTCGTCGCCAATGGGACGTCTTCCATTAATGGAAACAAGTGATTTTTCAAGGACTCTTCATACACTTCTCCATTAAAATTGGCGGGCAGAAAATGAGGTCCAATTAAATATCCATCAATGATGACCATCCACACACATTGACTGAAAACCGGCTCTGAGACCCCGTCGGTCTTATTTTTCGGTTTAACGCTTTTTTATCAGCCCAGTAATGAGCATTATGGTAGTTAGTGATCCCGTCCTTATCAAACTTCGATTCATCGGTCCACAGAATTTTCTTAAAATAGTCTGGATCTTCTGTATCTGCATGTAACATGTAACTGCAGAAATCTAATCGTCTTGCAGGATCGCCCTCTTCAATCACATGCACAGGCGTGTAATGATAAGGGTATAATCTTGCAGTATGCACAGTAAACCATACTTTGTATTGTGCTATACCCAACTGAGCAGCCACAATGCGCGTAGACGTAGTAGGGTATTCCTGAAACACATGAAGGATTTCCACTTCATCTTCAGGAAGATAGAGTCGGGGTCGACCAGCATCACTATGTTGCCTTTGAACACGTCCGGTTTGGCGGATGCGCCGATACACAGAGTCAAACAAAGTAACATGAGGTGTTCGGCGATTCGGGAAACGTTGCCGATATTCACGGCGGGCAGCTGCAGAATCGCCGTTACAAAGTTCATAACAGAACATTATGTCTGCGTATTCTTCATTTGTAAAAGTTTGCCCGTGCTCGCTATGGCGAGGTCCTGGCGGATCTTCTGCGTCTGCGCGTACGCAGTAGTTAATACCACCTAAACCTAATTCTCACTCGGCGTGCGGCGATGGCGTAACTACAACGATGAATAATAACAGCTCTCTCTCTCACTCCTCCACTAAGTCAGCTTTTTTCGCTCGCTTCCTCGTCGAGGCGATGCCATAAAAGAATCATAGCATACGAGTAATTTGAGGACAGTAACGACTTGTTCAAACAGGTAATACAAATTCCTTAAAAATCCAGCCTCTGTGGGTGTCATTGTTGTTTCTCTGCATGTACTTCAGATAATTGAACGCTTAATACCTCAAATGAAAGCTTGTTAGATCGAGATATTATTTACATAATTTGCACATTTCATTACTAGAAGATTTTTTACAGAAAATTGCATTTTTTATCGAATAAGTTAGTAAAAAAAAAGAAAATGATACATTTATAAAGCGTAATTTTAAAACGTTTGTAGCTTTTCAACATTTTATTACTTATTATGAACTATTGAAATGTCTGCTATGCGACGATAACAAAAAACTTAAAATCAAGCATGCAGTTTTTTTGTATTTCAATTTTAACCGTCTGAAATCGGAATAAAAAATAAAAAACATAATATCCAAATAACTCAAAAATGGATAACTTTTGGATAAGACATGATAGGTCAAAATCGGTTGCTTTTGACCTAATCTATCAACCCTTAACAGGAATACGTGACATTACAAGTCTTATATATACTAAGTGATAAAAATGGTAAACACCTGCGTGATTATCTCAAATCAATACCTGGTAAGTCCGAAAATGTCGATTTTCTGATTTTGTTCTGTTTTGATTCCTGTATGCATACAGTAATGCTCTCAGAAAATCGATATCGATGTTTCCTATTCGTGAAGCATCGACGATCGTAGGTTAATACGTCGTAAGTCGGAAAATTTCGATTTACGCATACAGGAGTCAAAACAGAACAAAATCGACATTCTTCGGACTTACGACGTATTGATTTGAGATCATCGCTAAGTATGTTTATTAGGATTCAAGAATTTTTTACATATCGGTTTATCTTGTCATGAACAGCAAATGAAAAGATGGTCAGGTTCTTCTGTTAAGTTTTTGTGTTGGCTGTGTGTACTGTCTGGTGACAAAGGAGCATTTAGCTTTCGTACATCTACGGTTTCAGTTACATGTTAAATTTTGTGTAGCTGGTATGTCGATAAGAGAAGTTTCTAGGAGGTCCAACAGATCCTTATGCAGAATACTGCAGTGTGAAAGAGCGTCGACTCAAGAAGACCGAGGACAGCGAGCGACGGGTTCTTGGGCGTCCCAGAGGTACCACAGAGCGACAAGACCGCCAGTTAAGATTCTGGCTCTGAGAAACAGATTCAGTAGTACTCGAGCCATCGCTAATCAGTTGTTTGTAGAGCATGGAAGGATGGTCTTTTTTACTGTCTTCATACCGTCTCCATCTTGTACTACCTCTGACCCTACAGCATCGTTTTTTATACTCCAACTACCACGAAGGCCTAGGGCCTAAACACCCATTGGGTACCGTGGGGCTATAGGGGGATGACACAGGGGAAAGGGGGATGACACACGGACTCTGGCGAGGCAACACGTGTGCATGCAACATGCACACATTCTGGCTCCGCCTACGAGATCCGCCGGGTGGTACCTCCGCGTTCGACTGTCAGAGACCGCGTACCACCTACGGACAATCACAACATCCATAGCCAAGAGAAAAAATTCTCCTGGGACGGGATTCGAACCCGCACAGCGCACGGCGACTGATCAGGAGACCAAAGAGTCTACTACTGCGGCCACCGCTACTGCCTAAACGATTGGTAGGGAATATGGAATGGAACTGATTCGTTTTCAGCGATTAGTCTAGATTTTGTTTGGGCACACATGATGGTCATGCATATTCATATTCATCGCACTGTGGGTGTTATGGTAGGGGGTGCCAATGGTTACGGCAACAGGTCACGATTAGGATTTATTCGAGGTAGCATCACTGCCCAGCGCTATATCCACGAAGTTAGTTTTACAACCCCATCTATCTCCCTTTTTGGAAACTGTGCAAGGTCCACTTTTTCAGTAGGACAATGCACAACCTTATGTCGCACGAGTTAATTTAGACTTTTTAGAATCATCCAGAGTAGATCTGCTTCAGTGGCCTCCTTGGTCTCCAGACCTTTCCCCCATCGAACTTGTATGGGACATGATGGAAAGAAAGTTGAAAAATTCACCGCACCCTCTACAAACATTGGAAGGTCTACGAAACCAAATTCAGATGGCCTGAAGAAAACATCAATTACCCAATCGAATCCAGGCCGCGACGACTTAACGAATGTGTAGCGAATTGTGGAGTTTCAACACATTATTAACATTAAGGTGGGATATCTCAGCTATTTTGCGAAATTTCGAGTTAAGATTTTGATCAGTTTCTATTTATCAGCAGACTTAAAACTTGTAAAAGTATGCTGAAAATTACTCCTAGTTGGTGTTGCATTTTCTATGTCATTTAGTATATTTCATAATTAGCAAACTGTGCACTGCAGATTATACCGCCAAAGGTAAAGAGTCTTTCCGCTTTCTATGATTCTGAATGAATGACAATAATCAAGTGATAAATGAAACTGCGTCAAATTTATACATTCGCACTTCTCCTGTCTGTGTGTTGTCCGACCAGCTAGTCAGTCAGGAATAGTCGGTGCCTAAGCAGGTCTTGACACAAATACGGACCTTGATTGAACACGAAATTCAGAACATAGTGTTACCGCTAATATCCAAAATCCGCTAATATGCATAATAATTAGACATAATAGGAATTATGCGTAAATACTAAAACTGTCGGTTAGTATGCAAAATAACGGCGTGTATCAGGAATTATCGATAACTACTAAAATCGTCAGTAATTATGCAAAGTATCGCCATATTTTCAGTAAATATTGATAATAACTGACACACCAATAGGAATTATGCATAATATCTGCTGTGTATATTAGTGATTATACATGTAACCTCACAAAATACGACTGGTCGTGCCTTGAAGCGTGCGTTGAAGTTTGAGGTTATGTTTTGATTGTTTTGTTGTTGGAGTTTCTCATCGCAATGACTGCACTACCTATTGATAACATTAAATTTAAATTTGTCGATGAAGTTAAGAAGTTGAAGGGAAGAACAAACTCACGATTGAACATTTTATTCAAGGAAGAATATGACGTGCTTTTATTCGAGGTAAGAATGATTTTAAACTAATATAGTGCCTTTATTTTAACGTTTAATTCCTGATCTTTTTCTCTAGGTTAGGGATGCTTCATCAAATAATGGTCCCAAAACTCCATTACAGTATCGTAGACTTAAAAGGTTTGGAATAGTTGAAGTAGAATTACATATATATTAAATGTTATGTAGTATACTTACTCGTAATATATTTCTATTTTATCATTAACTACACAGCATTTGACGTTACTTAGTTAATGACGTTACGTGATATTATGCTCAATCACTAACATAAGATATTGGTAGCTTCAGTATGTACGCATAATTTCTAATTTGGACAGTGAATATGCATAATAACTGATTATTTTAGTATTTATTAATAATTCTTGATACGCGCCGTTTACATACTAACCGACGGTTTTCGCATAATTCCTATTATGTGTAGTTTTTATGCATATTAGCGGATTTTGGATATTAGCGGTAACACATACACATAATAAAACAAAATAATAATATCTTAAAATCCACAGAAGTGCAAAATTGAAAAGGTGGAGTGTTACCCTAGCGGTATTTTTCAGCTCAACATTAAATTTAGTTATATAAATTTATTTATTTAAGATTTTCGGTTTTTCTGTATCACCCATTAAACTTCTACATACCGCATGCTTTCAGTCCTAGGTCTAAGCCACCAATCTTTTGTTTTACTTGTGGCTGAGCTACCCTTGCTTCTTACTAGTGAACGTCTAGTTTTCCAGTTTTCTAGGTGGTGTCGGATTGACTTCTGCACCTCCGCGTTCATGAAACAATATAACAGAGCCACAGTGAAACCCTAGAAAAAGGAAAAGTGCTGATTAAAGGTTATTAAAATCTAAACATATGTACATTCCTAGTAGATTATATGGTCACCAATGTGATATTTACGTTTGACCGTTTAAAGTTTTAGAGGGCAACCCAGTAAAGATAATCTCAAGAACAAAAAAAGCTGGCTACTAAATATCGATATTTGCCTGGTAGAAGTAGTATCGCAAAGTTTACGGTACACTTGGTCTGATACTCCTTTCTCATATCGATATAGGGTGAAGTGGGAAAATGTATTCATGGGGCAAGTGTAATCAGGCCCCATGAATTTTTTTTATAACGTTTTGGAACATATTTTCTCGAAAATATGACCTTTTTTATAACCATGCTACTTTTTATTAACCTCTTATTTCCAGTTTCAAAGATTTTACTTTTTTTTTCCTTTGACATTTATAATAATTTTGTGAGTGCCTTTTAGGAATTTTAGTTCCCTATTACTATCGCAAATATAAGTATTTAGTTATAGTATTTTGCTCCCTTAGGTAATTTTCGACAAGGATTTTGATTATGCTATCAGATTTGGCTTTCGATACTTAACAAAAAATGTATGCCCCACCGAAATGCGTATATGGGGTAAGTGTAATCACTGAGACTGGGGTAAATGTAATCACTGGTTACATTTGCCTCAGCCTACTCCTTCTTGAGTTTTTAGGCTATAACCTTTCTCTATTGTTACAGGCTAATAAGACCATGATATAGAATAGGCTATAGCCTATCACTTTCTCTATTGTTATAGGCTAAGAAGACTATGATATAGAAGAAATAGTGTAAATACTTTCCTAGGACTTTATTTAATTATAAAACGGTGTGGAAATCTCTAAAATAGGACCTATCTGAGACTAAAGTCTATACAGTTCCTAGTGAGTTGCTTCAAAATGGTGAGAGTGTATAAGAAAAAGAAATAAGACCCTTCTTACAGTGCTGAAGTTTTAAAAGATGCGATCAGAAACATCCAAGAAAGTGGTATCAGTATTCGTAATGCTGCCCAGAGGTATCAAATCTCATTTTCCACTCTTCAAAAACACCTACGAGTAACCCGAGGATCAAAAGGAAGACTCACCGCAATACCTGCAGCTGATGAAGAAAAATTAGTGAATGCCATAAAAACCATGGAGCAGTGGGGTTGGGGGATCAGCAGAAATGAAATTTTAGAATTGGTGGGAAAGTATGTTACGAAAAATAATATAAAAACGCCATTTAAAAATGGAATCCCTGGCGAGGATTGGTTCTTATCCTTTAAAAAAATACACGCTTTCTTTAAAAAAGCCACAAAGACTGGAGTACGCCAGAAAACAAGCCAATGATCCATTTGTGATTGAACAATTTTTTGACATGTTAAAAGCAAGCTTAGAAAATAATGAGCTGCAAAATAAGCTTTCTCAGATTTATAACATCGACGAAACTAGTTTTACGCTCGATCCAAGTAAAACTAAAATTGTGGGTCAGAAAAATGCCACTGCTTCAAGAATAACCACCGGGCCTGGAAGAGAGAGAGTAAGACAGTTCTCATGGGTAGCAACGCAAATGGGGATAAACTGCCTCCATTAATTGTTTTTAAAGGAAGAAATATATGGGATACCTGGATGGCTCCCAATGAATCCCCCTTTCCAGGCACTTCTTATGCTGCGTCGCCAAATGGTTGGATGGAAACCGAAATGTTTGTAAACTATTTTACAAAAACTTTATATTCGCAACTGAAGGACCAATCCTGCTTTTGTATGATGGACATTCATTGCACTTGGACCCAAAACTTATCGGGGCAGCTGTCGAAAATGATATAATTGTACTTAAATTACCTCCACACTCCAGCCACCTATACTAAGTGACATATAAATCCGAACACCCAGTTTAAATGGTTTTATTTTAATAAAAGTTGGTGCATGTATTTATCTTACTGTAAATAACAAGTGAAATAATTTTTAGCCTTATCAGTTGGACATTCCGGTTTTTATACTGCTTTTTTTTAATTCACTAACGCTCTGAAAATGAATATTTCAGCGGCAGTAAAGAATCAACGTTGGCGGATTTTGGTTCTTGACATCCTTTACGATCGGTTACGATGCCTAGAGTACGGAGACCTGTACGATTTCGTCAACTTAGTGAGTTTGATAGGGGCCGTATAGTGGGACTTCGGGAAGCTGGACTTTCTTTTCGGGCAATTGCAGTTAGAGTGCAAAGAAGTGTAGACACTGTGGTTAGGTGTTGTCAGGCATGGCTTCGAGAAGGCCGTACGCAAAGAGCAAGGGGCACTGGACGCCGCCGTAGAACAACACACCGTGAAGGTCGCCGCCTAATATTATTGGCCTTAAGGGACCGTTTCTCCACTACCAGGTCCATTGCAAATGAATGGTTTGCAGAACACGGAAGACCTATTGGCATGCGAAGTGTTTACCGACGAATGAGAAGTTTTGGCTTGTTTTCATACCAGCCACACTGGGTCCTCCCTTTAACTCGAGAACACCGACGTAATCGCCTTGAGTGGTGCAGACAACGGTCACTCTGGGATCAGGAATGGAACAGTATTGTCTTTAGTGACGAGTCTCGATTTTGTTGAGGCATGCACGATGGTCGTGCTAGGGTTAGAAGGCGACGTGGTGAAAGGAGGAATCCACAGTTTTTTGTTGAAAGACATGTTCATCACACTGTTGGAGTTATGGTTTGGGGTGCTATAGCTTATGGTTCCAGGTCACCTTTAATCTTCATCAGAGGTAACATGAACGCGCAGCGTTATATCCACGAAGTTTTAGAACCCCATCTTTTGCCCTATCTTGACACCCTGGCAGATCCAACTTTCCAACAAGATAATGCCCGACCACATGTTCCAAGAGTCACAATAGACTTCTTTCAATATAATGATGTCACATTGTTACCATGGCCACCAAGATCTCCCGACTTATCCCCAATTGAGCACGTGTGAGATATGATGGCTAGGAGATTGCTCAATTTGCAACGTCCTCCTCAGACTCTAGAAGCACTTCGAGAGGAGTTGGTGGTTGCCTGGAATGAGATACCACAGGAGGACATTGACCACCTGATCAGAAGCATGCCTAGGCGCGTTGGAGAATGCGTAGCACATCAGGGTGCATCCACACATCAGGTCAAAGGGCTTTAAAGCAGTGCAATCATTTTGAAATTTTTATCATTTACTTATTATGCTTCATTAAGTACTTATACAAAATTTTATTAAAATAAAACCATTTAAACTGGGTGTTCGGATTTATATGTCACTTAGTATATTTGCAACCCATGGACCTAGCTGTGTTTAAGAGTTTTAAGTCACGGTGGGATTCCAAATTAGCGGAGTACCAACGAAAACATCTGGGTGTCAAAAAAAAACAAAGAAAGATTTTTCGGTACTTGTGAGTACAATTTGGAAAGAGACAGATCCAGCTTTACTGACATCGGGCTTTCGTAGCGGAGGAATATGCCCATTTAATAGATCTGTCGTCGATCGATCTCAATATGATCCAGAAGCTCTACGAAGATATGAAGAACGTTTGAGAAATCCCCAACCTGCCACAGAACAACCTCTTAATGAGCTCAGCACAAGTAGCCGTGAAGAGCCATCGAGAGAGAAACCAACCATGCAGCAGCTAGCATTAGAACCGCGTCCAGAACCAATAGCAGGTCCAAGCAGATCAATACCAATAGCAGGGCCAAGTAGATCAGAACCAATAGCTACGCCAAGTAGCAGTTCTGTATCATTCGAAGAATTGTTGCTGGAAACAGTGAGACAATCGCCCCGCACTGACGAAGAACAAAGAAGAAAAAGTGAAGCTTCGGGAGCTGAAATTATAACAGCAAAAGAAAACAGAAAAAATAAAAAGGCTGAGCAAGAAAAAGAAGATGAAAGAATAGCGAAAGATAAAGCAAAGAAAGTGAAAGAATTAGCAAACAAAACAAAGAGGGAATCAAAAAAATAACAGCAAAAAAATATTAATGAGAGCTCTTCAGATGAAGACGAACCGCAAATTTCAAATGACAGTGAATCCGACGACGCCACCTTTGAGGCTTATGCAAAAAAGTTAGAGGAAGATGAAGAAGCATTAACACAAGACGAATTGTTTCTCAAAGAGGTAGAAAACCTTAAAAATTGGAAACTGGATTTTGGTCTCATTTAAAGGAAAAAAGTATACTTTTCTATGCTGGTCAAATAACAACGCTTGATGCAGAATCGCAATCGCAGCCTACCATGAAGTTTCTAAAAAAATCACATAGAAACGCGCAGAAGTCGACGTCAAGCCAAAACCGGGTGATAGGCAAAGTCATAACAGCTATCAGAAAAATTTAAAAAAAATTTTGTGTATGTGTTTTGAAAATTATAGGTCTTTGAAAAAGATATAGATATTTCACACCCTACGGCAGTCTGACAACTCCTGTTACTACAAATATTAACTTTTTTTGGATTTTATTTTTACAATGTAATGATGAATAATGCATCTTCAAACTGGTGTCTCAACCTTACTGCCAACTTTTCTCGTTCAGGAAAAATTGCCACTTATTTCCCAACCAAGTATTCCAAAGTAAAACTTTGCTCAACTTTAACTGGCTGTACTGGAAAAAAATGTACTACGAGAGTTTGGCAAGTAACCTTAAAAGTTAGCGCATTTAATACCGATTCCAAAATGGTATAACACTTAGAAGATGACTCGTTAACTTATGCACAATTTTTATTTGAAAAAAAACTGATGAAAATTTTTCAAAATTTCCTAATTAAACAGCGATTATGAAAAAGCACAAGGACCCTTAAGGATAACTGTTTGCACAACAGTGGGCGTCAAAATGCTACTGATGATGATTTACCTTTACAGCAAATGCTCAAACTGTTTTCCTTCAGCCGCAATACACGCTCGACATCTTCTTAAAAAAGATCGGGTTATTAAACGAGCGAATCCACGGTTATAAACAAACTCAGCTGCTTCCAATAGTATTTGCCGTAGCTCAGCTACATTTTGAATCGGCTTGAAATAC